ATACAATAAGGAAAAATGGCCATAATGTTCAATTTGTATGGGTCCCTTCACATGTAGGCATTGGTCTTAATGAAGCAGTAGATATAATAGCAAAAAGAGCCACGGAAAAGGCCGAGATCGACATAATATGTACTAAAACCTTGAAACAATTAAGGAGCAAATTACGGAAAATACAATCAATAGAATATAATTTCAAAAGGAATGAAATATACGAGAAAAGTGAAACAATGAAACATTACCATCATGTTCTCATGAACACAAAATTTACATATGGGAAAGATGGGAGTAGGTGGAAAGATTCAGTGTATATGAGGTTAAGATTAGGATATAAATATTATTGGGAACTTGGAGCTGAGAGAAGTGAACAGGATAAAGAATGTAGAGTTTGTAGAACACCCAGATCCCATACCCTGCCACATTATATACTGAAATGCCCATTGCTTAATGTATGTAGAAATGCCCATATAAATAATGTCCCCATGCAAATAGAGTGGATGTATAAAAATAGGAAAATAGATGAAATAATAAAGAAATATAGAAATTTTGCATCTAGAATATAACTATGTATGTATATAACTGATTATATGAAATATTAGGGATTTATGTGAGTCTTGAGAGGAACATTCCTGGATTGGGGTGGGGATGACTTATGTCACTTCATCCCTTTGAGATGTATTAATGTTTCTTGTATCTCAATAAACGTATCAATCAATCAATCAGTTAGTAGTTTAGTTAAATGTATTATATTATTAGATTAAAGTAAATGTGTTAGTAATATTATAGTGTTTTTTATGATATAATTAAGTAAATCAGAAAACTAAACGAATCGCTGTGATCATTAATTGCTGGGTCGGCTCAATAGATGGCAGGTACTGTGCGTCGTCTGCTTTGTTTACATATACTATGGCTTGTTTACAAATACTATGGCTTGTTTACATATACTATGGTTTGTTTAAATATACTATGGCTTGTTTACAAATACTATGGCTTGTTTACAAATACTATGGTTTGTTTATATCATCTTAAGGGCGAAACTCAAATTCAAACAAACGTGACCATGAGTAATACCATGTTTGAAAGTTTTCTCGAATGGTAACGGGTCAGGTCAATAGATGGCGCTGCTCGGCAGATCTAAGACGACACATTTTTTTTTAAATAGATGGCAGGTTTCCCGTCTTGTCTACAAACGAGTGTTTCCGAAGCTGAACAATTTAATGTACAGTATCATTATTTGTTTATTTTTCTGTAATTTTTATTTATTTTTTATTTTCTTCATTACGATATCAATTAATTTACCCTAAAATTTGTTTTTTTATGTTTCCTTATTCGAATAAATTTTTTGGGAAGAAGACTAAACAGATGCTATTGACTGACACGTGGAGCTTCAGTGCCAATACAGACACGGACGGTGGAGGTGCTGTCAGTCGTCTCTCTCACTTGACAGACGCTGTTTATAAAGTGTACTACAGTAAGTGTTATTTTTAGTGTATTTAAGTGGTTAAATTTATATTGTGTAAAGGTCGTTATATTAAGGTTATTTATTTGTACAGATTTATTTTAAACGGAAATACTTTACAAAATATTAAGATACACGAGTTAATCTATTGTGAACAAGCGTAGGTTAATGGTCGTTAACGCTCTTAATCACATCGACTAATTACTTTAGACAATACATTACTATTTTGGCTTATGCTTCAGTAACGTTCCTCATACTTGGTGTATGTTTTGGTCTTGTATGTTACAGCAAATATTTGTTACTCGTAATATTATTGTTAATATTGGTCCATAGGTTCCCGCCATGTTTACCCCAGGATATCCCCACGTAGTAGTCTCCTGCTCATAGGTTGGTTCCTTTGGCTAAATCAATGTTTTTTGTTGTGTATTTTTGGTGTTTTACTCAAATTTAACCTCCATTTTTTTTTTAAATTAGCAGCTTGTTTAAAATGAATGTTATTTCCATCTTACGAACTTTTGAGAACCTGAGGCTTCTTAAAAAACTACGAGGTTACAGCATAATAAAACATATTTACCGAAGTAACAACGATTATTACGAGTCATTCGTTATTACTGGTTGACTATGTACCATAACAGTAGAAAATTTTCATCGTAGGTGCTGAAATTTTCGCGGTGGATGAGAATCAAAGTAACACAGAGCTTCGATAATGCATGTAAAATACCGCGGTTGTCTTGCTAATTTACATAAAGAGGTTCCTGGAAGCAGTTAGTGAGCGAGTAATGGCGAGCTGTTATTCCTAAAGTCCGAGTTGGCATCTGCCGCCGGTGTTGCCACAAGGAGCTCCTAAGTTTTGGGTAGATCAGAGGAAAACAAGAGAGTGTTACCAACTCCCACACTGGAAATATTATGTAAATTTCCTTTACATTGGGGGGAAAAAGAAGCATAATTCCCCTGTGTATCACGAGCAAGATGCAGAGACCGTCAGAATATTTTCAAAGTATTCGAAAAATTTTATTACTGTTTGGAAACTATTGAAAAACAAACAGAAAACGGGAATTATTATTATTTATTTTTGGTATTACACAATTATATTTCCGTGGTAGATAATAATAATAATAATAACAAACTTACCCACTATAAACTCTTAAGGCAGGAAGATAGCTTGCGTGTGTCTTGCTTAATTAAATTTACTGTATATTTTACTTAGTCGTGTTTCAGCCCCGGAGAGTTCTGAGGCGACATCTTTAACTCTATTGTTGCCTCTATTACTTTAACTCTACTGTTGCCTCTATTACTTTAACTCTACTGTTGCCTCTATTACTTTTACTCTACTGTTGCCTCTATTACTTTAACTCTACTGTTGCCTCTATTACTTTAACTCTACTGTTGCCTCTATTACTTTAACTCTACTGTTGCCTCTATTACTTTAACTCTACTGTTGCCTCTATTACTTTAACTCTACTGTTGCCTCTATTACTTTAACTCTACTGTTGCCTCTATTACTTTAACTCTACTGTTGCCTCTATTACTTTAACTCTACTGTTGCCTCTATTACTTTAACTCTACTGTTGCCTCTATTACTTTAACTCTACTGTTGCCTCTATTACTTTAACTCTACTGTTGCCTCTATTACTTTAACTCTACTGTTGCCTCTATTACTTTAACTCTACTGTTGCCTCTATTACTTTAACTCTATTGTTGCCTCTATTACTTTAACTCTACTGTTGCCTCTATTACTTTAACTCTACTGTTGCCTCTATTACTTTAACTCTACTGTTGCCTCTATCTACTGTTGCCTCTATTACTTTAACTCTACTGTTGCCTCTATTACTTTAACTCTACTGTTGCCTCTATTACTTTAACTCTACTGTTGCCTCTATTACTTTAACTCTACTGTTGCCTCTATTACTTTAACTCTACTGTTGCCTCTATTACTTTAACTCTACTGTTGCCTCTATTACTTTAACTCTACTGTTGCCTCTATTACTTTAACTCTACTGTTGCCTCTATTACTTTAACTCTACTGTTGCCTCTATTACTTTAACTCTACTGTTGCCTCTATTACTTTAACTCTACTGTTGCCTCTATTACTTTAACTCTACTGTTGCCTCTATTACTTTAACTCTACTGTTGCCTCTATTACTTTAACTCTATTGTTGCCTCTATTACTTTAACTCTACTGTTGCCTCTATTACTTTAACTCTACTGTTGCCTCTATTACTTTAACTCTACTGTTGCCTCTATTACTTTAACTCTACTGTTGCCTCTATTACTTTAACTCTACTGTTGCCTCTATTACTTTAACTCTACTGTTGCCTCTATTACTTTAACTCTACTTATCTTTACTCTTCGTCCTTACCCTTTTGTTTTTTATACTTTGTTTACTTTTAATTTTGCCTTATATGAATTTTTTACTTTTACTTAATTTAGAGAGAGAGAGAGAGAGAGAGAGAGAGAGAGAGGGGGGTAGCAGGACTCCAGGACACCTTACTTTAGTAGGTGGAGAGGAGGAGGAGCTGAGAGACAGCTCACACCAAGGGAGAGGGAGAGGGAAGGAGGGTCGGCAGTTAATTATTCTTCACCCCCCACCTTGAGAGATCCATGGGATGGGTAGGACAAAAAGAGGTGTGGCAGCCAAGCGGTTACAACACTCACTTCCTATTCCAAGGGTTCCTGGTTCGATGCCGGGACTCTCCTCGTTCACCCAGCTGTAAATGTGTACCTAAATTTACACCTTTCATGTCTATGGGATCCACTTACATAATTCAGGACGATCGTATTACCCCCACTGTCGGGACCATACAATTATGATACGTCATCTACAACTGTGTGTGCCATTAACGAGAGTGGATATTATATCTTCTCTTGAAACACGCCTTCGTTTGTGCGAGAGAGAGAGAGAGAGAGAGAGAGAGAGAGAGAGAGAGAGAGAGACACAAGGACGGTAGCACATGACTTCACATTCCCCGAGTTAATCTAGTTTGGTGAGTGATCCATCTTGCCCCGAGTCGCCCCAGTGGCTCCCTAATGGCTCCCTTTTTCCCAGTGGTCTCCAGTGTTTGTGGCTCACCCCCGCCATCAGTCACTCCCCGGCGAGGCTTCACACCAATGAGTGACAATGTTGCCAATGATCTGCTGTGGCTAATAGGGCAACACCCTGATCAATGTTCTTGTGGTTGACCTTTCTTGAAGTGATCGTCACTTGGCTTCATAAAACATTGATGAAACCTGTTATATTTTTCCTTTCAAATTGACCGAGTATAAAAGTGACTCGATCATGATAATCCATGACTATTTCAGCTTGTTTCTAAAACTTTCTTCACATTTCTTCATAAAACAACGTTAGAACGCGGGTAATATTTCCCTTGCCTATTTGCTGAGCCCAAAATATCGACATGATACAAATTCACCTTCTGCTTTATTTGTTCTGGAAAATTCTCCAGACTTCTTCACTGTAAAAACTCATGTACTATTTTCTCCGACATTGACCTGAGGATAAATTCAGATTCAGTGGATGCTCGACTGACTCAATTTCATGTTACAGGTGGACCTGAAGCACAGAGAGCAGAAGAAGGGCAGCAACCTGGTGAAGATAGGCATCGACCTCAAGGAGTTCTACATGTCGGTGGAGTGGGACATCTTGGAGGTCCCCGCCAGGAGGAACCAGGAGTACTTCCCGGACCTGGAAGAACCTTACCCAGGTAATGTTGAGTCCCACGGGGCGAGGAAGGTAGGAGGAGGAGCTTTTAGATCCCTCCACAGGTAATGTACTGCAGTAAGGGTGTGGGGAGGGTTTACGAGCCCTGTACAGGTGAGAAGGTTGGCCCAGGAAGCTTTTCAAAGTCTTGTGTGAGTAAAACTACAGTCCTAGGAGGCATTTGCAGACCACTGAAGACATCATGTCGTAGAGTTTGAGGAATTTTTATTGAACTTGTTCTAAGCGACGTGGGAGGTCTAAGATGACTACTTTAGAGGTCTACGTATATAAATAATAATAATGGTTGCCCCTCGTGTGACGAGGAAGGCCGGCCCTAGGGCCACCTAGGCGTGAATTTGTTTACGGTGTAGAAGCTGTCGCTATCACAACAACCACACCCTGAGTTAACGGGTTGCATGACCCGGTGTCAAACAATAGTCAGAGAAGATCGGACAACTCGCCAACTGCACTGGCTAACCATTACCTCCTAAACATGATCCGCAAATCGATTAACATCCAGGTCCCCAATTACTACTGGGTCGACAGAGGTCTACATACTGTACTTCTAACACGTCATTTTTAGTTAGGAATGACTTAAAGCCTCTAAGTAATTATCCTCACAGAAATATGTTATGTTACTGCCACGCCTCCTGTACCGGCCTGGCCAGGGGACCAATGTGTTTTAGGCCGGTGAAAATATGTTTTTAACAAACTATTGAGACATAACACGAACGTTGGTGAAACACATACATATACACACGAACGATGACGCAATGAGACATACACAGACAAGACATACATATATTTTCAGTTCATAAAGCGGATCGGTGGAGTGGCCGCGTCAGAATAATAACCCAAATTTACATAGTGAATCCTGATAGATGATGGGAGCGTCACCGTGAATACCGGGTCTGTGGCGAGGCAGTGCTGGGACATGAACGACGGAACTCAAAATTTGATGGCAGAATAAAGTAACTCATTAACATAATCAATGCTGCCTCAGGGTGCTTTAGTGCCGCCAGAATATTATCGGTAAAAAAGTGCTGGAACGCTGGAAAGTCTTAAAAGGAGGCTAGATAGATTCATGGATGATAGAGAGTGGTAGTAACTCTCGACAGGAGCTGCCATGCACAGGCCAACCGGCCTATTGCAGACTCCTTATTTTCTTACGTTCTTATGTTTAAGTTCTGTTTCCATAAATTGTGCCAATATGTTTTTGGTCATTTTTATTTACTCTTGTTTAGTTTATCTTTTAATATGGAGACAAAGATATATGACGCAAGGCTTGGCTCTAGTTGCGTTATGGGTCTGGTCGTGAGTTAGACAGCCTACATATGAAAAGGAAATCCCCTCCCCCCCCAAAAAAAAAAAAATATAAAACCCTCACTCGGAGAATATCTGCTGTGGTTCAGGGAAGGTGAGCATTCAGACTGCGTGCGTGTGCGTGCGTGTGCGTGCGCGTGTGTGTGCACGTACTTGACAAGAATACCTTTAAGTCACCTCAGTAATTCCCTCCTAAAAGAAGCTACATGAACGGCAATAGGACGCTGCAGTAACACTACTTCAGGACATTTTTACCTGACGTAGAAAAAACTCATATGAAAACGAGGAGCTTCTGTCTCTGCTGCCGACGTTTAGGGCGACTTACCTTCACCCTCGGCAGTACGATCTCTCTCACCCCTCCTCCTACCCCTCCTACAGTGGGGCTGTGTACGTGTTGTGTAGATATGTAGGTATTACACAGCTCAGCCACACACTGACACAGTCCCTGAGTTAACTGGTTTATTCTCGTCGGTATGTTAATGTGATTCTTGTTGTTGTTGTTGTTGTTTTAAGGTGAGGTGCTTCAGGTGTCAGGGTTATGAAGCAACGAACTTCTACATGTCTTATACGTGATTCATCTTTCTATAATGTTTTGTAGTAATGATGTAACTTTTTAATTGATCGTTAATGATAAGGATATTATTATTATTATTATTGTTAAAGTTTACTAGAGAATAAGAAAAGTATATTATTCTTTTTATTGGCTTCATGTGATCTCTCTCTGTCTCCCTCCCCCTCTCTCTCTCCCCCTTTTCTCTCTCTCCCTTCCCCCTTTTCTCTCTGTCCCCCCTCCCCCTTTCTCCCCCGTCTTCACCACCCCCTCATTACCGTGATGCTCTGGACTGCTGGATTAAGAAGCTCCAATGTGTCTACCATGATGATAGGCTTGTTACCCCGAGGTTGAGGTGGGGCTCCATACTCCTCCAGTGGCCGCTGGAGGAGACTCACGAGGGGCCCCCACACCGATCCAATTTCGCGGACGGCTGACCAAGACAATAACAATGGTGGGGGTGAGGAGGTGTGGGGGAGGTGGGGGTGATGGGGGAGGAAGACACGGGGAAGGAGGGAGGGGAGGGTGAAGGGGAGGTACATATAGGGGGAGGGGAGGTGGGCGATGGTAGGGGGGGGGTGAAAGGCAGAGGAAGACGGTTGTGGAATTTATGGGTGAGTAGGGAGTGAGGATGAAGGGGGAGGGAGGTGAGGAGGCTAAGGAGGTGAGGGTAAAAGGTGGAGGGAAATGAGACACGAGGTAGGTGAGAAGTGAGGAGAGGAAGGTGAGAATTATAGGGAGAAAAAGGTGTAAGGTGGGGAGAAAAAGGTGAAAGGTGGGGAGAAAAGGGTGAAAGGTAGGGGAGAAAGAGGTGTAAGGTGGGGAGAAAAGGGTGAAAGGTGGAGAGAAAAAGGTGTAAGGTGGGGAGCAAAAGGTGTAAGGTGGGGAGAAAAGGGTGAAAGGTAGGGGAGAAAGAGGTGTAAGGTAGGGGAGATTTCTTCATGTTTAATATTAACTGTAGTGATAATAAGGACAAGAACACAATGATCCTGCTAATGTCAGATTATGTTTACTGTAAGTGGTTAAGTAGGAAAGAAAATTATAATGTTAAGGAGACTATAGCAATTATTAAAGGCAGGATATACTATAATAAATGGATGACCAAGTGTATTTTAAAAGAAAAGTCATCCAAATATTTCACTTACAAATATGTTAATATGTAATATTTATGTATACAGAATATGTAAATTGTCAAATTTATAAAAAAAAAGATTACTAATTACTACTTAATATTACTTCAATTCCGCTCCTGCTACTTATCATTGCTACTTTTTACCTCTAGTATATATTAATCAACCTTATTATTAATCACATATCACCGTAGATAATATTATAAACCTTTAATATAACTTTCTCAGGTATATACTCTCTCTTGTACAGGTAAATGGTGGAAATTAATTCTCCTATTCTTTTACGATAATCCTGCTTCTCCTACTATTTTTTTTACCCCAAGTTAAATCATTATTAAAACCTTCTCGTCACTAGTTTTCTGGTTTAATTCCCATTTTTTCCACTAATAACTAAACTACTTCATGTCTCTTCCTACTAATCTAATTTATTATATAATTCTGTACTTGTAGTGACAATAATTTTAGGAAGAATTATTGAAATTATCTGATAAATAATGAATTTTATTATGATCGATGTTTCATTGGTATTATATGTCTGTATGTATAATGCACACACACACACACACACACACACACACACACACACACACACACACACACACACACACACACACACACCTTATCACTGCTTTTCCTTTTTCAACAACCTGTAACACTCGCTGGCACTTCCTGATACCTCTTGACCCCTTCCTAATATCCCCAAACTACCCTAACACCCGCCATAGAATCCCTAATACCTTCTAACACTCTCTTACACCCCCTAACCCCTCCTAACGCTACCTGAAACCCCTAACACCCCTTATAGTATCACTAAACACCCTTTAACACTCCTTGATGCTACTTAATGCCTCCTGAAAAACCCTAACACCTTTTCTTAGTACTTATAGTATCCTCAAACACCTCTTAATGTCGTCTAATACCTTGCGAAGCTCCTAACAATCCTCTTATCTCTAACACCTCCCGAAAACATCATAGATTACTTAATATCCCCAGGTATTCCTTAATGTTCCCCAAATATTCACTAATATCCCCAAATATTCCCTATACTATCCCCAGGGACACTTCATTACTCCCCTAATACTGTATATACACCCTCACACCCAAGAGTCTGACGGCCTACACTGTCATGTCTTCTTCACCTCTTATACATCTGAGAGACTCCATCCATGCCATCTTGCTGAACCTCCACCTGCCAAAATTCATTTATGCCCCGGACAAACACCCCGTGGAGTTCCCTGCCTCGGAGTGTTTTTCCTGTATCAGATAACCCTAAGCATTTCAAAACATCCTCCTACTTTAGTTACCTGTAAATCTCATGCGCTCGGTGGAACTTCCCGTAAATGTGTTTTTCCAATATCATATAACTTTTTCCTACGTCAAAACATCTTGCTTCAGTTACCATCAGTATTAAGGTATAGATTAAAACGCCTTAGTGAATAGATTTGTATATGGCCTTGTATGAACGCTGTCTACACTATATGTTGAGGAAAAGAATTATAACACCTGAAACTCGGCCAAAACTTCTTGATAATTACGGCCTCTTGAGACACAATCACTTTTAGCTACCGTAAACGACTTGTCTTCTCTTCCTCCACTAACACCCCCTTAACAACCCACAAATATTCAATCTCTTTCTCCCCTAACACCTCCTAACACCCCCTAACACCGTCTTCTCCCTCTTACGCCCAGAACTAACACCTACTAACACTTCTCTAACACCTGTTCATCTTCGCTAAACATCCGTTCCTTCATTCTCCCATATTATCTCACACTTCTCCTTGCACACCCCCTCTTTTCTACCCCCTCCATGCACACCTCCTCCTCCCTTCCCCCTCTCTCCACCAAGCACCCCCTCTTTCTACCCCCTCCATGCACACCTCCTCTTCCCCCTCTCTCTCTCCACCAAGCACTCTTTCTACCCCTCCATGCATTGTTCCTTCCCTCTCCACCAAGCACCCCCCTCTTTTCTCACTCCATGCACACAAGAACTCCTCCTTCCCCTCTCCACCAAGCACCCTCTTTCTACCCCCTCCATGCACACCTCCTTCCCTCTCTCCACTAAGCACCCCCTCTTTTTCTCCCTCCATGCACACCTCCTCCTTTCTCCCTCTCTCTCCACCAAGCACCCCCTTCTACCCCTCCATGCACACCTCCTTCCTCTTCCACCAAGCACCCACTCTCCATGCACATTTCCTCCTTCCCCTCTCTCCACTCAGCACCCCCCCTCTCTACCCTCCATGCACACCTCCTCCCTCTCCACTAAGCACCCCCTCTTTCACCCTCCATGCACACCTCCTTCCCTCTCTCCACTACACCCCCACCTCCATGCACACTATTCCCCCCACTCAAGCACCTCTTCTACCCTCCATGCACACTCCTCCTTCTTCCTCTTCCTTCATCATGCCTAACGTCTCTACCGGGCAGATATCACGTTCAACCTGATTTATAAGGGAGGAGACGCTTTTCACAGGTGAACCTCATCATCCCGTGTGTGGGCAAGCATCTCGTTCCTCACTGTGTTGGTCTCTATTTACCCTCGACCTGGAGGAGAAGGTGACCTGGGGGCGTGGTGTCGGAGGAGAGAGGGGAGGTAGGGCGTGGGTGTTGGAGGGGGGGTGTTACGGTGCGTGGTTTGTAAAGTGTAGTCTGACAGGTTGGCATGAATGGGTTTGAGATTCCAATGTCCTCAAATCCTATTGGGTTTATTAGGATTGTGCTATAAGATTTGGTGCCTATTAGGATTGGTGCCTATTAGGATTGGTGCCTATTAGGATTGGGAAGTATTTGATATACAACGGGTGTAAATGCTGCAGTAAGAGTCACGATCATCCACAAAGGTTACAGGAGATCAGAAGGGAAAGTATAGACGATATAAGATCCACTGTGATAATAGACGACACAATAAGGCTCTTTAGTACCAACACGAGAATGAGAGAAACATATGCACATCGCTGTAGTGTGTTTTGAGTCTCTGATGTTAGATTTTTTTTTTAGTTTTATTGATTTTTATTTTCTGTTGCTGATATAAATTACTTTACGAGTTTTGTCTGTAAGAAACGTGGACCCTTGATGATGATGATCATGATGATGATGATGATGAAGATGATGATGATGATGATGATGATGATGATGATATTATTTATCCTTTTCCCCTTCCTCCTCTCTCTCTCTCTCATCATGACATATTCGTAATACGGATCAGAGGATGAAATTGAGAGGATTTGCTTTGCATATGAATGGTAGATGGAGTTTAATTAATAGTAATAGAAATTGAGGGGAAACAGAGGTATACCAAGTTGGATTGAAAATTGAGGAGCAATTCAGTGGACCTTGGCTTAATGTGTGTGTGCGTGTGTGTGTGTGTGCGTGTGTGTGTGTGTGTGCGTGTGTGTGTGTGTGTGTGAAGCAGAGAGTTAAAAGTAGGAGGAAAAATGAGAAAAATAAATGATAGAAGAATTAAAGTGAGAATAAGTGATATTTCCCATCACCCTCTCATCATTCACCCTATCATCCCACTCATTCCCACTCCAAGTTCCCTATAGTCGAACCTCCATTATCATACCGTCTCTGTCATTCCTCGGCTATATAACACCAACCATTCCATTATATATCCCTCATACCGCTCCACCCCCCCCCCCTAGTTCTATGGAGGGGGGGGATTTATGTTTAGCTGGTAGAGGGTAGGAGTTGTGGGGTAAGGGAGAGGGAGGGAGGGGGTGAGGTAGAAGGAGAGAGAGAAGGAGTGTAAGGGAAAAGGAGAGAGAGGGAGAAGGACTGGGAAGGAGAGTGAAGGAAACTGAGGAGGAGAGAAAGGGTATATTAAGAAGGAATGCTTGAAAAAAAAAGGGTGAGGGGAGGGAGGAGGATTGGGAGGGAGAGTAAAAGGAGGGAGGTAGATGGAGAGGCTAAAGAAGTAAATGAAAAGAGAACAAAGAATAGGAGAGAGAGGAGGAGAGTAGTGATGGAAAAGGAAGGGCTGGTGGAAGGGGAGAAGACGGGAGAAGGAGAGATGGAATGGAGGGAAGGAAGAGGGAGGAAGGAAGGAGGAATGTAAGGGGAGGATGGGGAGAAGAGGAGAAGGAGAGAGGAATGTAAGGAGAATAAAGGGATGGAGGAGGGAAGGGAAGGGGAGGAAGAGGGAGGGAAGGAGGGAAGGAAAGGAAAGGGAGGGAGGGAAGGAAGGAGGAAGGAAAGGAAAGGGAGGGAGGGAGGGAGTGTGTCAAAGCCTCTTTTTATTTTAATAAATCGCAGGCGGGAGGAGATACGCCCTACTTCACTCACCTGACAAAGACCCGCATCCGTCTGTACCCCTCTGTAATATACACTCACGGGGGGGAGGGGGAGAGAGAGGGGAAGAGGGGGGAGGGGGACGAGGAGAGGGTAGGGAGGTAAGAGGATAGTGATGTAGTGTGAGGTGTCGTGAGCCAATAACAAGGCAGGTCACAGGACACGAGATAAATTGTCACGGTCAACAAGGTTAGGTTAGGTTGTCAGCTGTTTCCTCTGATTGGCTGGAAGGAAAGTAGAAGTTTTTTGATTGGCTGGAAGGAAAGTAGAAGTTTTTTGATTGACTGGAAGGAAAGTAGAAGTTTTTTGATTGGCTGGAAGGAAAGTAGAAGTTTTTTGATTGGCTGGAAGGAAAGTAGAAGTTTGATTGACTGATAGAAGTTTTTTGATTGGAAGGAAAGGAAAGTAGAAGTTTTTTGATTGGCTGGAAGGAAAGTGGGATTTTTTGTCCAAACCTTCACTTGATTTGACCTTAATTCGTGATCCTGATACACACGCAACATTGACTCTGAGTTATAAATCATTGAGTTTATATAAATAACTCCCCAAATTGATGATGATAACCTCAGTTAAGGTCTGGGCAGTAGTTAAGGTTCAATTGTATAGTACTCTGGCATAATAAAACCTAACCTATTCTAACCTAACCTAACCTCACCTATACTAACCTAACCAAACCTCACCTAACCTAACCTAACCTAACCTAACCTCACCTCACCTAACCTCACCTCACCTAACCTCACCTAACCTAACCTAACCTAACTTAGACCTATAACTTGACAGAAACTTAACAATTCTTATCATCTATCATCAAGTGGGAAAAAAGGAGGAGAATGAAGAAGAAAGAGTAAAACAGAGGTACAGAGAAGTGGATGATTGGGGGAGAGGAATAGAGGAGGAGAATTGAGGAGAATATGGAAGAGTAAACAATTGAGTAAAATAGAGTAAATAAAAGAATAATAGCAAAAGGAAGAGTCGAGAAGATGGATTACCCGAGCATCTATCAGCTGAGTGTTATTAGGCTCATCATCATCATCATCATCATTATCATTATTATCATTATCAGTATCATCATCATTATTATCATCAGTATCATCATCAGTATCATCATCATCATCATCATCATCATCATCATCATCATCATCATCATCATCATCATCATCATCATCATCATCATCATCATCATCATCATCATCATCATCATCATCATCATCATCAGACTAATAAACTCAAATAAATAAAATATAATACTCTACTGTAGGTCAGTTAGGGTCTTATTGTATTTTATCTATGTTGATTTAATATTGGTAATGTGACTTTAAAGCAACATTAAGTTTGTATATGTGGGATATTAATGCATATGACGTCCCAGATTTAACCAGTCCTCAATAATGCTCAAAGTATTATAATTTAGAAGGAATTTTTAACTATCTCAAGTAGTCAAACAGGTTGGGATTATTTTTTTTTTATAGAGAGGGAAAGTTTTTATATGAGGATAATTAATGTTCCTTACAGGTGTTAGGTCTGATGAAACACATTAACTCAGGAATCTTGTCTGTTAGATCAAGGCAGTGTAGGAGTGTTGAGTGTAGTCGAGTGTACACCAGAACCTATTGTATATAGTATTGAACTCTATTAGCACTGGTTCTTAATTTAACAGGTGTTCAACAAATGCTTTATAACTCACCTGTGTCACGCAGGAGTGAGGGGGTGTGTGTGTGGGGGGGGGGGTGTTGTAGGTTACTGTATATGGCTTTCAGGGACCTCTAGGGGACGGCATTCTGAGACCTGGAAATATTAATTATTGTTAAAAAAGTTACAGAGAACATAGGTTTCACTGACTCACCGACTGTGTGTGCGCTGAGATGTTAATGTTATTTAATTTCCAGGTGTTAGTCATATTAACACAGCTGTCAAGTTATTAGGAATCGATTACGATTTTTTTAAATTTGATTTGAAGTGATGAATCCCGTCATGTTTAAATATACTGAATATAATAAAGTTGTTGGTGTTGACACATTTACAGTACTGACACTCCTGAAGCTGATATATGTTTACCTCACTTCCTCCCCCCACCTGTCTCAGTTAATTATCTTTACCAGTGACAGATAATAATTACTCTTAGATTATTATAACATAACTCAACTGTATGTAATAGTTTACTATTTTAGAATCTATTAATCTAAAGGTATTAGTGTTTGTCAGGAAGATGTAAATATTGCATGAACTTTTACGTGGCAGCTGCCGTAACTATTGGTGCTGGGCACACCTGGGCACACCTGGGCAGCTTCCTGACTGTGGTTGTGCCTGATAGACTTTAAAGTCCAGCTTCTGTTGACACCTGAACCACTCAACTTTTCAGGTGGTCCTCAGAGACGGTCACCTGATTGTTATTATTTTCTTAAAGTTACAGAGAAATATTTAACATTAATCCTACAGGTGCCAGGCAGCTGAGAACAACACACCTGTTAGCTAACACCTGTGTGACTGGACTACCTGTTTATAGTGTCACTCATCTCTAGTATGACTATGCACGTGACTTGACATCTTGAGGTTAATCTATCACAACAGATGTTAGGACATCAATGAATTTACTAATACTTTCTGTACTAAACACCCGTCATCATCACTAACTCCCCCAGGTGTGTGATATACCACCCCCCTCTCCTATTATCCTCCCACACACGACTATCCCGTCCGTGTGAGGTTCTTTCTCTGACTTGAACTTTTGTCCCACGTTTTTCCTAGACATTTTCTTGAGCTTGCTAATCTATACATGTGGCCAAAGGTGCCTCAGCTTGCTAATCCTACAGGTGCTAGAGATGCCACCCGCTTGAGAGCATGAGGGAGGACACAGAGTAACCTGTAGTCTGGACTCAGGCTAGACTAACACCACCACCCCGTCTCACCAACTCCGGACATCCACCTCTAAAACAGTTTATATTTTATCTTCATTTTTGTGATGCACTCGAGTCATGGGAGACGCCATGAATATAAGCTAATCAGAGAGCCCCTCCCTTACTCCGGTTATGGACCAATAGGAGAAGGCGACGGGCGGGATTAAGCATGGCATGTCACATAGTACCGGCCAATCAGGGGAGGGTACCTACCTGCCTAATGGCTGGTCTGCATGTTCCGTGACCAGGCTCCGCCTTTTTCCTGTCCAACTGCTAAACATGAACCCGA